GTCAGCCAGTAAGGAGCAAGGAGCGAGCTAACCCAGGTCTGCTGACTCCATGGTCCACACTCTTAATGAGGCGCCACCAAGGCAGTATCACTGTCTGCTGTGCCTACTGTTGTCCCTGGTGCTAGCACAGCACCTGGCATGTCACAGGCACACGACAGATACCTCGCAAATAAACGAATGACTTGTTACACTGCCTCATTAGTGTTCCAGATAGGAGTTTAAACACAGCTTCCAACATACTATATTCTTTTAGAAATGTTAAACACCTAGGAGAAAATACATTATTTTGTCAATAAAATTAGGACATCAGTACAATAAACATAGAAGACAATATCTAATTGTAATATAAAGGACTAAAATAGATGCAATCACATCAATTCTTGAGAAACAGCACTAAGAAGCCATTTTCTTACCGATAGTTACATCTCCTCTGATTTCGCTTTCTACACACACAACTGCTCCAGGAGCAATCTTCACACTGTAGGAAGAAAAAAGTAACACTCATCAAGGATAAGATTAAAAATATTGTTATAGAAGCTACCTTTAAGGTTATACAAATTGATGGGAAAATGGAAAGTCAATTGTAAGAGGGCAAGGTTTTAATATAAACTTCTCAAGTGGCATGCCATCAGGCCAAAATCATATATGATGTACTATTAAAATGTTTGAGAAGAAAGTGTTAAATTTTTTTTAATTTAATGCCAGCATTGTTTCTAAATAGCAAAAAGCTGAACACAACCTAGAAATTCATCAGTAAGGGACTGTTAATAAATTATGGTATACTCTGGACACTCATCAGAAAGAATGAATAATCCCTCGTAAAGACTCTGGAATGATTTACAAGCTATACTGTTAAGTGAAAAAAGCAAAGCTAAAAAATGGACAAATATGTAATATGCCACTATTTTTGTAAACAGGAGGAAAAGGAATGTACAAACTATTTAACAACCAGCAAAGTAATATAGAAAATTAAAATTTACAAATACTTATACTTATCCTCTAACTATATACATGCATAATCAAGCTGTTTAACAAGTGATATAAATTGTATTACAAATTGTTTAAGATTAATAACTTCTATATAACTTATTGATGCTTTTTTTGATAGCCTGTGTGATCTTTTATTTGATGTGTACCTAGCTAAAAGCTGCCCCTAGCTGAGCCAGGGGCTGACATGAGGAACTGCATCAACTGATAACTCCATTAAAGTGATAGTTACTGGAAAACTTGTTTTCATTAAGAAAATAATTTTTCCTAATAGCAATGGTATTCATAGTGTTACATGTGATCTCAGCTTCTATGAAATAACAATATCTTAAATATTTTGTCTTTATAATTCTGTCTGAATTTTTCAAACTTTTGATTTGTAGCTGTTCATTGCTAATATACAGAAATATAACAATTTTGTATATTGACCGTGTATCTTGAGACCATGCTAAATGCACTTAGTTCAAGTAGCTTTTTTGTACATTCTTTAGAATTTTCCATATAAACAGTTATGTTATCTGTAAATAAAGTTTTATTTCTTCTATTCCAATCTGTATGCTTATTATTTTTTTCTTGCCTTATTGCTTTGGTTTAGAATTCTAACACAGTATTAAATAGGTGTCATGAGAGCAGACATCCTTGCTTTGTCCTCAATATTAGTGGAAAGCATTCTAGTCCCGTAAGATCAATAAAATCCTGGAAACTATCTTTCAAGCCATGAATTTTGCATTTTAAGTAAATTATTAAAACTTGGTATGTGAAACAGTTAAAGCTTTGTTGACCAAAATATTGCTGTCTTGGTTTAGATTTTTTCCAAAAGTTGTTTTCTCATTTCAGTAAATACGTTCTGCAACCAGCAAGGACTGGAAATCTAGATTGCAATGATTTGCTCCTATCAATTTTTCTAAGGTTCTATCACATGCATGAAAATGCTTATTTTTAACTTACATAGATAACATTAAAAATGATACTTTCTATTTGTGTTCCATGCATTTTTTTTTTCTTTAATGCTATCATTAAGGATATATTCCATGCATTTTTGATACTTTTTTGATACAAAAAATTACTGTAAGACTTTATTTTTTCAAATGCTTTATTGTGAAATAGTTTCATAATGTTCTTATAATTGTGTACTTCTTGATGGTTGATGATTGCTTGAATATTGACAAGCTATCTCTTTAATGACAGATAACAAGCTAATAATACCAGGTGCCTCCAGAGAGGGGAGCAGAACAGTACGTGCACAAGGGTAGATGTAAATTTTTTTTCATTATATACCATTTTTTAATTGTTTGCATTTTGAACCATACAAATATATTTCCTATTCAGAACTAAATATTATAAGTAAAGTGGAAAAAAGTAGATGGATTAATAAAATGTACTTAAGACCAGGACCAAAATAGGACTTCTACAAAGCATAAATTAATGAAATCCTACCAATGACCCTTCTGGGTTACATGGCCCATCAAGAGTCATTCTGCTGTACCAAGAAGCCACTAAAAAAAAAAAAAGAGTCATTCTGCTGAAATCACGAAAATATGTAACCTTCATATTGAGTCAGAGAAGAAAGAAAAGTTTTAGCAAAATGGAGAATAACAAAGCAGAAAATCACTTGGTTCAACCGTCCTCTCATTTTATACATAAAGGAACCCAAACTCAGAGACTTGAAATTTCTGGAAGCCTGTGGCATCACTGTCCCGAAATAAATCATCTCTTTTCTGTTAGTTGAAAGTTTATTGAAAACATCTCGTCACTTTAGATATTTTTCCTGTGATAACTGAATGACGCTATCCTTGAATGTACCATTTGTAAATGTCATTTCTCTGATACTTTTCATTTCAGTGGGTTTTTGTGTTAAAATATGCAATTTTATTAAGCCTTAGTCAAATAAGTTAGCCTATCTAAAATGTCTCTTGTTTTAGACCTTATTTTTTCATTGCAATTTTCCATTCCCTCAGGCTCCTTGAAAAGACCATAATCTCACATTTAACATGTCCTGGGCAACAGAGCAGGAAAGACTCACACGTGCCCCCTGCTGTCAGTTTTATGCCCAAGGGAGCGATCTCCCTGGTAGTGTGTGTCACACGCAGCACACTTTTCAGTGAGGCGGAGATAATTCACCACTAGATCAACTAAATTGTGGTTCCAACATCTCGAAGTGCAGGACCCCACTGTACCTCCAAGTAGGGAGCAGACAGCTGGGAGGAGAAGGCTTCACTTCTGACCTATTAAAATACTAACAATACCTTCATCTACACTGTATGTTACTACATATTGTGCATAATATTTATAATACATCTGTTTCTGTTTACCTTATGAAAACAGATTACAGATTGCCTGCTTAAACAGAAGAAAAACCTAAATTTTAATTTATGGCATCATAAACAACGGTGGTTTTCTTTGTCAAATAGAGTCAGCACCGAGGCGAGAGGATTTTTCCAGCCCAGGAGTTGGAGACCAGTCTGAGCTCGAGACCCCTGTCTCTACAAAATATATTTTTTTAAAAAATTAGCCGGGCGTGGTGGAGTGCGCCTGTGGTCTCAGCGACTCGGGAGGCTGAGGCAGGAGGATCGCTTGAGTTCAGGAGTGTGAGGTTGCAGTGAGCTATGATCACACCATTGCACGCTGGCCTTGGTGACACAGCGAAACCGTCTCTTAGAAAAAGAAAAAAGAAAAAGAAAAGCCAGCAGAGGGTGCTCATCACCGCTTCACTAATGCATTTCTCTCATCCAAGCCCTGTCTTTCCCCCAGCAGTCCCCAGCGCCGAAGACTGCGGGACCAGAAGCCACAGTGATGACCTCACATGTTTACAAAGGCGCTTGTCCACACCCGGCACACCAGGTCAGCTGTAGGGTAGGCGCGGCCCCCTTTTGTGACGAACGACCTGCATCAGTTTACACACGTCGCCTGCGAGAGATAAGCGGGGTCCCGGGTGCGGCGAGCACCAGCGTGGGTGTGTCGCACACCCAGCAGGGAATCCCGCGCAGGCCACCGCGCACAGCGCGCCCAGGACGGCCGGCCGCAGGGGTAGAAGGGGCGCGGCCTCCCGGTGCGACCCGGCGAGGGCCCGACGTCATTCTTCCCCTGCAGCCTCGCCCGGCGACCCCTTCTGCGCAGGCGTGTGCGGAGGAGGGACGGCGACAAGAAAGAACAAAAACCTTCCAGGCAGCGATTCCGCGTCCCTTCTCCGCCCTCCCCGCTCCCACTCCGTCGCCTCCTCCCTCAGCGGACTCCTGGTCTGGGCTTTAGGTACCACCAGCCCGAGCGCCCGGGATGAGACACCCTCTCAGTCCCCTCCGTGGGCGACCAGGGACTGGTTCTAGCCTTGTGGAGAATAGAGAACAGGCGTTTCTCGAGCAGCAGACCCACCTCTTCTGAGTCTTCTCCGCCATGGTACGGCTCCGTCTCCAATGGGAGCCGAGTTCGACACCGTGGCCTGGGTAGAGCGATGGTTTCTGTACTCGATTGGAAAGCCTGGCAGGGTAGGGAGAGGGGCGGAGTCTCTGGAGGGGCGGGGTCACGGGGCGGGGCCCGCGAGCTGAGGGGCGGGGCGCTCTGGGCCGCCCAGTTTACCTGTGCCCGGTGCGCGGGAGGGTGCGGGTTGCCGTGCGTGATCGCCCGCGGCCTTCAGCCCTGTCGAGCGGGCCACAGACCCGAATTTAAAACAGCTGTTTGTCGCAAGCCAACGCGCATCATTATGACTTCATTTTACCCTCTCCCTTCGGTACTCCGCCCTGCCGGAGTTCCTTCGACCTCCCGGAAGTCCCTTTTCGGTCTCTGCCTCCCTCTGCAGTCAGGGCTCCTCCTGCTGGGCCCTGTCGCTTTCTCGTTCTGTATGGGCTCACCCTTCCCGTAGGTTAAGTGCCCTCCACCTGCTTGCTTTCGGTCAAATTAGTATCTCTAGTTCTGTCCTCAGCCGAGCTCCACACTGATACTCGATCGACTACTTGACGACTCCACTCGGATGCCTCAAAGTCTTTCCTAAACTGTCCAGAACAGAGCTTTCGGTTAATGCCCAAGTCCTCCCTCTACCCAGGTGCTCCTTCCAGCCCTATTTCGGTAAAATAATCTACCATTTGCCCAGTCGCTCAAGCCGGACACTCGGGAGTCACCCCTCGCCCTCCTCACCCCTACACGTAATAATGGACCTGCAAGTTCTGCGGGTCCTAGGGCCTCAGCTTGGCACTTTTCGCTGTTTATAGCTCCACCATCTCTCTAGCCTGACCCCAGCCACCGGGTCTCATCCCTGTTCTCTGCTCCTTCCGTCTTTGGCCTCTAAAATAACGCCCCCATCTTCCCACCCAAAACCCCAGTGCAAGTCATTCTCTTGTAGTCAGAATCACCCTTTAAAAGCCAAATCCAGTTATTTTATTTCCCATTCCTCTTAAAATCCACAGTACTTCCATAACCTATCTCCATGCTAGATCCAGTAAACTGAGTGTATAGTGTCTTGTGTACATGGTATTGTTTTATGTGCTTGGGATATAGCAATAAACAAAACAAAGTCCTTCATTTGTAGGGGTCACATTCATTGTAGTAGGGGGCAGGCAATAAATGAATCAAGAAATACATATATAAGGGGTGCTGATATGAAAAAAAAGTAGTATAAGGAAAGGAGTGGTGGTGAGGAAGGAGAACCTCGATTTTAAGAACTTTCCTCCCTCCTGCTCACATTCCTGTTGCCCCTCCCCAGTCCAGGGAGTTGTCTGTCCACAACTGGAAAATGAGATTTTTCATTCACTTAGTGAAGAAAATATGACAGTATGATGCCTAGAAAGGCAAATAACGTCCTATGTACACTAAACTTTGGAAAGTAATGTTTTTCGTAGATGTCATTATTAATATACCACCAAAATGTGTTTTGGTTTCCATAGTGCACTTACCTTTATCAGAAAGCCAACTTTTATTCTGCTTATCTCTTGTGCTTTTGTTTGCCTTTTCCTCACCCGGGCCCTCTGAAACCAAATAAAAAGGCCAGAGAGAGCCTGGTTGAGATTTCTCGTGCAGGTAGGCAGCAGTTAAGGACTCTGGAAGGGACAGTGTCTTTTGTTCTAGTTCATCATGGATTGGCTTCAGCTCTTCTTTCTCCATCCTGTGTCACTTTATCAGGGGGCTGCGTTTCCTTTTGCGCTGCTGTTTAATTATCTCTGCAGGAAGGATTCATTTTCCACTTGTGCCAGGTAGGCTGGATGGCTGATTTTGCTCTTACATCTAGAAATATTATAGGAGGGCAAAAAGCACAGAGTGGACTACGGATGTGAGGGCCACATATTAATTACACTTATTTTAAACTTAGTGTCACTGCCATTGATTATTGATTGCTTGGTAATGATTATATATAATAGAATAAGATAGAAATGGAAATTGACATCACATCTGCATGGACTCAAAGTTTGATAGGTTCACATTAGATGACAAATGGGGATTGCTTGAGGCCTGGAGTTTGAGACCAGCCTGGGCAACATAGCAAGACTCCATCTCTACAAAAAATTAAAAAATTAGCTGGGTGTGGTGGTGCATGCCTGTAATCCCAGGTACTTGGGAAGCTGAGGCGGGAGGATCACTGGAGGCCAGGAGTTTGAGGTTGTGGTGAGCTATGATTGGGCCACTGCACTCCAGCCTGGGTGACAGCGCAAGACCCTGCCTCTAAGAAAAAAAAGGAAGAAAGAAAAAGAAAAAAAGGGCAAACTGATGAAAATAAACTCCAGGGAGAGATGGCTGTTACAGTGGTACAGGAATTCCCCAAGTGGGTACGTGTATGCCAACTATATATCCCATATATTCTCAAATAATCCTGGTTTCATGGAATTTTATAATTTTCAATAAAATTAAATGTTATATAAATTTACATCAATATAAGTTATATTTATAACTAAATGTGATTTTTAAAATCCCTTTGTATGATTCCTTGGAGAAATAAGTCAAATGAATCTTGTTAGATTAGCTATATCTCAGTTTGGGCTCCAAAAATTATTCTCACTAGAAATTTGATAACTTGATTGCAATATTTTTTTAATATTAAATAACCTCAATACATTAGAGACAGTCCCTATTTTTAAAAAGGTTTTGTGGAATATCCTTTTGTAAAGTTAAAATCTGTTGCCAAAAGGCCACTTCCTAGTAATTCACCTATTTGGGGAATTAGGATTTTCATATATTGGGGTCTCTTAAGTAAAATCTAGCTGTATCTAACAATCAGTTAGGATCGCTGAGTTTAATTAAACTGTGGTTTGTTACCACATGTTCACAACTGGCTGACACCCTTACCTTCATTTATGGGAGCTGGGAGTAGGGGAATAGTTGTAAAGAAGTTTCCTATTGAGAAAGAATCACAAAACAAGTGGAAAAATAAGGGTCAATCCCCATGGAGTTACTATAGGGTTAAGATTGTTCACTTTGGATTCAGCCTGGTGAGTCCTACCTCCCTCACTAAACCGAGTGTCCTTGTGTATATGAATAAACTTCCTTTGAAGTTCCCTGTCTTGATCTGTAACATGGAGACAGTAATGCCTATCTCATTGGGTTATTTTAAGGATTAAATAAAGATATTTCTTGTAAAGGATCATTAGCACAATGCCTAAAATGAAGAAAGCAATGGATAAATCATATATCGTACATTGTACATGTGTAGATATTTTAATGTTTTATAACATTAGGAAAAAAACCCAAAGAACAAAAAAGCACTGTTCTTTTCCTGCCTGTCTGCCTGAGGATCGACTACCGTGTTTCCCTGAAAATAAAACCTACCCATAAAATAAGCCCTAGCAGGATTTCTAAGCATTTGCACAATATAAGCCCTATCCTGAAAATAAGACCTAGTGATGGGCGTGTGTACACAGCATATGTGCACAACCCATGCATTTCGTGGTGGAGTGGTAAAGAAGATGAGCAGCCCAGCCTGTAATCCTACCTCTCTGGGAGGCCGAGGCGGGCGGATTGCTCAAGGTCAGGAGTTCGAAACCACCTGAGCAAGAGCTAGACCCCATCTCTACTATAAATAGAAAAATTAATTGGCCAACTAATATATATAGAAAAAATTAGCCGGGCATGGTGGCGCATGCCTGTAGTCCCAGCTACTCGGGAGGCTGAGGCAGAAGGATGCTTGAGCCCAGGAGTTTGAGGTTGCTGTGAGCTAGGCTGACACCAAGGCACTCACTCTAGCCTGGGCAACAGAGCGAGACTCTGTCTCAAAAAAAAAAATAAAAAAAAAAGATGAGCAGCCCTTCTCATCTGCCCCATGGGAGCTCTATTGCTCGACATGAGAGATTGGGGCCAATGGTTCTAAAGGAAATAGAGTCGCAAGAAATTCAGGATGGAATTTGGGGTTTGGAGAGTTATGATGATATTCCAGAAGAAGACAACGTAACTATATTTGAATAAATGTAGATTGTTGTACCGTACTTAGAAGAAATAACACATCCCCTGAAAATAAGCCCTAGGGTGTCTCCTTGAGGAAAAATAAATATAAGACCCTGTCTTATTTTGGGGAAACATGGTATTATGGTGAAGTGGCTATCTGGACCGGGAAAGTTCATAATCAACCAGCTACCTCAGTGGGAACAAATGGTCATGGGCGCCCTTCACCTTGGGAAGGCAACAGGGCTAAGAAATTTGGGAAAAACTAGCCAAAATGTACAAGACCACACCAGATATCATCTTTGTATTTGGATTCTGACCCTGTCTTGGTGGTAGCAAGACAGCTGGCAAGATTTACGACTCCTTGATTTACACAAAGAAAAACAAACCCAAGCATAGACGTGCAAGACATGGCTGTAGGGGAAGGCAAAGACTTCGAGAAAATGGGGGAAGGAACGCAAAGGCACAATGAAGACAGAAGGACCCCAAAGGGCCAGTGGCTGGCAAAAAGGGATAAAGGTGTTGCAGTGACTTTATCTGCAGTGACTGTGCGGATTTTTCACAAGAGGATTAATAAACTCTAAACATTTTTTGTTTTTAAAAAGCCATAACACTAACTCACAAGATCTTAAAGCGTGCTCTCCAGGATGAAGGGTAGGTGTAAGGATTTTGTATGTAGCTTTTCAAATACTTCATTGAAGGGAGCATCGAGTCTTTTTTTCCCTCACCTTCTGGAACACTTCAGAGCAAGACGGCCTTGTGGAAAGGAATGGCGTTCATTCGTCTCCATGAGAGATTGTCTGGAGAGTTCTAGATCCTTCACACTAGGCTCACATCATTGTCGGGCAGACAACACACCAGGCCACTTCAAAGATGTCCCTACTACTGAGCCTTCCAGGTTCGCCAAGGGTGGGTGGTTTAATACCTTGGGTAGGAATCACCTGAATGGTGGGTATCAAAGAGAGAGGTTCCCATGGTCACTAAGGCCAGAACCAAGATTTGTCTCCTGGGGTCAAGTTTACAAACTGATCCTGTCTCATTCTTCCACGATTCTTTCCTTCAAAAGAGCAGCAAGAAAGCCTTAGAGAGCTAACAGCATGGCGCCATTTTTGGGTGTTCTGTGGAGCTACCTCGAGTGGGTTCCCGGGATGACATCTGAAGTGATTCATTCGCCACACAATGCTACCTTAGCTTCATCTGGCTGTCCTTTCTCTGGCAGGTACCTCTTCCTCCTGGCCGGGGGAGGCGCCCTGGCCTTGGCCGCCATGGGTCCCTATGCTGCTCTTGTCGTCATCCCTGCTCTCTGCGCTGTGGCTCTGCTCTGCTCCCTCGGCCCACAGGAAGTCCACAGGTGGGCTTTCCTCTTCCAGATGAGCTGGCAGAGCCTGTGTCACCTGGGGCTGCACTACACGGAGTATTATCTGCAAGAGCCTCCTTCCATGAGGTAATGCAGCCTGTTGGCTTGGCTGTGCTGGTGGTGGAGAGAAGTTTGAACCCTAATTCTTCCACATTCCAACAGTGTGACCTTGAGCCAGTCCTTTCACCGCTCTCTGACTCAGTTTCTTTTTCTGGGAAAGAAAGAAGGGAGTAACAATACCTATCTTGCCAGACTGTTGTGAATGTTAGAAAGAATATTAAATGTGGCCAGGCATGGTGGCTCACACCTGTAATCCTAGCAATCCTAGCACTCTGGGAGGCCGAGGCAGGCAGATCGCTCAAAAGTCAGGAGTTCGAAACCAGCCTGAGCAAGAGCGAGACCCCCTCTACTAAAAATAGAAAGAAATTAATTGGACAACTAAAATTATATAGAAAAAAATGAGCAGGGCATGGTGGCGCATGCCTGTAGTCCCAGCTACTTGGGAGGCTGAGGCAGAAGGATCCCTTGAGCCCAGGAGTTTGAGGTTGCTGTGAGCTAGGCTGATGCCACGGCACTCACTCCAGCCAGGGCAACAGAGTGAGACTCTGTCTCAAAAAAAAAAAAAAAAATATTAAATGTGACTCTGTGACTATTCATTGCTATTACATATTGTCTGTGCAACAGGGTGTCTGGCACTTAGCTGGGATTGTCATTGTGCCTGAGAGGGAGGGTGAGGCAGGAGACCCTTGCTGCGTTGCTGTGCCTGCCACAGAGACAGGCTGCTGCTGCATCAGATTATTATTATTTTTCTTTTTCAGACAGAGTCTCGCTTTGTTGCCCAGGCTAGAGTGAGTGCCATGGCGTCAGCCTAGCTCACAGCAACCTCAAACTCCTAAACTCAAGCGATCCTCCTGCCTCAGCCTCCCATATAGCTGGGACTACAGGCATGCGCCACCAGGCCCGGCTAATTTTTTCTATATATATATATATATTAGTTGGCCAATTAATTTCTTTCTATTTATAGTAGAGACGGGGTCTCGCTCTTGCTCAGGCTGGTTTCGAACTCCTGACCTTGAGTGATCCACCCGCCTCGGCCTCCCAGAGTGCATCAGAGTTTTATCTTCATTCAGACTCAGCTGTTCTCGTCCTTCTGGAAGATTGGTAGTCACCCCATCTAGCAAACAAGAAATCAGGAGCTAATTATAGTCTAGGGAAGTGTTGTCATGAGTCAATGAGGTCGCCAAGATTAGGGGGAAACACATCTTTATGATCTTGAGGCCTAATGTTCCTGGCAGCCCTGGCTACCACAGTTGGCACGAGTCCATGGTCGCGCAGAGAACAGAGGCTGGGACCACGCTAGATGGGTCACCTGTCTGGTTCTAGCCTGCCATTGGCTCACCTGCTTTGCCATCCTGACCACACCCAGAGGCTCTTTCTTTTTTTTATAATGACTATTTTCACCAAAGGCTTCAGACTTGCTTCTCTGAGGAAGACACAAGATGGCAGGTGGGTGGGGCGTAGGAGGTACGGAATGGGATGTGGTGAATCAGGATTTCAGTGGGAACCGGGGCCTGATGGGGCTGGAAGGGCAAGTTGGGCAGGATCCGGCTGGATGGGAGGAAGGCTGACCCGGGCCTGCCATGGGAAGGGTGTTAGTCAGCGAGGGCTGCCATGGCATGGCACCACAGGCTGTGTGGCCTGAATGATGGAAACTCATTTCCTCACACTTCTGGAGGCCGGAAGTCCCAGATGAAGAAGGGTGGAGCTCTGAGGCCTCTCTCCTTGGCTTGCAGCTGGCTGTCTTCTCCCTGTGTCGTCACAGGGTCTTCCCTCTCTCTCTGTGTCTTAATCTCCTCTTTGTATAAGGCACCAGTCACAAACAACGATTAGGGTCCACTCCCATGGCCTCATTTTAATCACCTCTTTAAAAGCCCTATCTCCAAATACAGTCACATTCTGAGGGACCTCGGGGTTAGACTTTTAACATATGAATTTTGTGGGGACACATTCAGCCCCTAACGGAAGGTGAGTTAGCAGGGGTTGGTGGCCTTTGGAGCTGCCTTGCTTTCTGTTAGGATAAGTCAAGTCAGTCAAGTGAGGCGGTCAGTTTTCCTCCAATCCTCAGACCCACAGACAGAAAGAGCAGCGGTTGGGAGGCAGCGCTGTTTTCTCTCCACGGGACAGCGTTCCTGCTTGTAGAGGGTGGGTGGCACTGTGATTTTCATTTACTGTCCTCAGTAATCTTGCCAGCAGCATCTCCGATGGTGAAGCAGGAAGAATTCAGGGGATTGGTTAAGAGCACACCTCGAATTGCTAGTGACTCAGCATACACCCTCATTCGTTCCTCAGCACAAACCCCAGTCATGCAGAATCTTGCAGTCAGGGTCTGGTTCATATTTAAAATCTTCAACTTGGCCGGGCGCGGTGGCTCACGCCTGTAATCCTAGCACTCTGGGAGGCTGAGGTGGGAGGATGGCTCAAGGTCAGGAGTTCGAGACCAGCCTGAGCAAGAGCAAGACCCCATCTCTACTATAAATAGAAAGAAATTAATTGGCCAACTAATAGAAAAAATTAGCCAGGCACAGTGGTGCATGCCTGTAGTCTCAGCTACTCTGGAGGCTGAGGCAGCAGGATTGCTTGAGCCCAGGAGTTTGAGGTTGCTGTGAGCTAGGCTGACGCCATGGCACTCATTCTAGCCTAGGCAACAAAGCGAGACTCTGTCTCAAAAAAAAAAATAAATAAATAAATAAAATAAATACAATCTTCAACTCCCTATAATCTTTTCTTTTTTTTTTTTTCTTTTGAGATACAGTCTCACTCTGTTGCCCTGGCTAGAGTGTTGTGGCATCAGCAATCTCAAACTCCTGGGTTTAACCAATCCTCCTACTTCAGCCTCCCAAGTAGCTTGGACTACAGGCATGCACCACCATGCCTGACTAATTTTTTTCCATATATTTTTAGTTGGCCAATTAATTTCTTTCTAATTAATTTCTTTCTGTTTATGGTAGAGACGGGGGTCTCACTCTGGCTCAGGCTAGTTTCAAACTCCTGACCTCAAGCAATCCGCCCACCTCGGCCTCCCAGAGTGCTAGGATTACAGGCATGAGCCACCATGCCTGGCCACTGTAATCTTTTCATTACTCGATTTTTGTCCCCTCTATGGCAAACTTCCCCCAAGTCTCTGATTTCAATCTTTATAAGACACTCTTGGAAATATTATGATCAATATTTCCCCACAGTATTCCTTGTCATTCCTTGTCATTCTCTTATTTGCATCTCTGAGTAATGGTTAACTTCCTCACTGGCTTGATGCCGTCTAGTGTCAAATTAAATGACAAACAGAAAGGCTCTCTTAAAGAAAATGACGTTTATTTGGGAATAAGAGATTGCAATGGGTTACACGTGCCATAGTAAACGATGCAGGGAGGTAAAGGAAGACAAAGGTGTTTAAAGGAAAAATGAGGAGGAATACGTAATTGTTTTGCAATGATTGTCCTTGGCTACCAACATCAATAACAAGGGTGACGCCAGTCTGAGGTTGGACAGGCAGCTGCTGAGTAGATGTCCTCGCAGAAATATTTTTTGTGCAAGGTTGTAATTTTTGGTCTTTTGTGATAGTTTCTGTTATTAAGCATAGAAGCATAAGAACCCTCTTTTCATGGCCTTCCTTCCCTGGCTCATTTTTTCAGGATTTTTGGGGTTTGGTTTTGTTTTTTAACACAAGTGACTCCATATTGATTCTGACAACTTTCACTCTGGAATAGCACGTGGTTCTGAATTAATCCAGGAGTCTTTGTGGGGCGCTGCAGGCCATGAGATTGATCTTAACTCAACAGAGTAACCTATTTCCTGTGGGGTCATGTGTGACAGGCTGGAAAGGGAAAAGAATCAATATGGAGTGTTTTTACATTAAAAAAAAAAATTCTCTTTCAGGTTCTGCATCACTCTTTCTTCCCTCATGCTCTTGACCCAGAGGGTCACGTCCCTCTCACTGGACATTTGTGAGGGGAAAGTGGAGGCAACATCAGCAGGCATCAAGAGCAGGAGCTCGCTGTCTGAGCATCTGGGTAAGGCACTGCCCTATTTCAGCTACTTGCTCTTTTTCCCTGCTCTCCTCGGAGGCCCTTTGTGTTCCTTCCAGCGATTTCAGGCTCGTGTTCAAGGGTCCAGCTCTTTGTGTCCCAGGCACTCTTTCCGGGCTCTGACCTGGAAGGCTGTGCAGATTCTAGGACTAGAGTGCCTCAAGGTGGGCGTGCGCAGGGTGGTGGGTGCAGGAGCGGGACTGGCCGATTGCCGGCAACTCGAGTGTGTCTACGTCATGTGGGCCACAGCCGGGCTCTTCAAACTCACCTACTACTCCCAGTGGCTCCTGGATGACTCTGTCCTCCATGCAGCAGGCTTTGGGCCTGTGTCTGGTCAGAGCCCTGGGGACGAGGGATATGTCCCCGATGCAGACATCTGGACACTGGAAACAACCCACAGGATATCCCTGTTCACGAGAGAGTGGAACCACAGCACAGCTCGGTGGCTCAGACGGCTCGTGTTCCAGCATAGCAGGGTCTGTCCACTCTTGCAGACGTTCGCCTTCTCTGCCTGGTGGCATGGACTCCACCCAGGACAGGTGTTCGGTTTCCTTTGCTGGGCTGTGATGGTGAAAGCTGACTACCTGATTCACGCCTTTGCCACTTTGTTTATCAAATCCTGGCCAGGGAGGCTGCTCTATAGAACCCTCGCCTGGGCCCACACGCAGCTGATCATTGCCTACATCATGCTGGCTGTGGAGGTCAGGAGCCTCTCTGCCCTCTGGTTGCTGTGGAAATCCTACAACAGTGTCTTCCCTGTGGTGTACTGTGTTCTGCTTTTTCTATTAGCGAAGAGAAAGCACAAATTTAACTGACATCTTTCCTCGGCTTTCATCCTCTACAACAGTGAAACAGAGTTTAGAAAGTGCCAGATGATGCATTGATAACACGTGTGTTCGAACTTTTCCATAATAAAGGATTGGATGGATATACCTGATGAATTGCCATAGAAATTTGTGTGTCTGCTTTACTGAGGACACAAAAAAGAAAAAGACCTGGTTTCTTCCCTTAGAGTTGACAATCTAGGTGTGGAAGCAAAGTTTAAATAAAGCAATAGATAAAAACACAAGGTGCTGTGAACCAAATGGCAAACGGTCTATACGTGGATGCCCAAAAATTGAGAGTCCAGTTGACCTACTAGAACGTGAACTTTAGCAACACAAAGACAAAAACAAAACAAAACCTAAATCATATCATCAGACTGGTTTGCTATATGAACTGAAGACTCATCCCGAATCCATAAGTTTGAAAAATTTGGCCCAAATTTGGAAATTTGAAAAATTTGGTCTAAAAATGGTAAGGCTGACATTATTCTCAGAGATACATTAGCAAACTGAAAATCCACCTAAGACTTGATAACTACTTACATAATTGTTAAATACAAAACCGACTCATGAAATGTGTCTTACAAAGAGACCAATAACAGGAAGTAAACACTTTTAGCATAACTTTGAGGGTAGGTCTGATTCCTTTTTCTTGGCATATCCTAAATAACTGCCTCTGTTTTTTCCTCTGTTAGGATTTAAAATGCACCAAGAGAAAGGTATCAGGACCTCCAAGCAGTACTGAAGCAATGTCATACCAGCATGTTCAAAGTTTTGCCACCTGTGCAGGCCACCCATGCTATTTTATAATTACCATTTTTCTTTAATCAACTTTAATTCAGCTTTTTAAAACTCACGTTCCTTCGAAGCAATGGCATTGATGCCCTTTGGTGTACTAATTATATTTGATTCTAGTACTAACTACAAGAAACACACACTTGTTCAAACTAAAAATGTTTATTCGTGTACTGTTTAAAACCAGATGCTGATTCACCACCGAAGCATCGTACAAGTATCTAAGCTTGCTGAGTATTCCAAACCAATGCTTTCATCCTTTTCAAAATGGAAAATTGCCAAGTAAGCTTTTCATTTTTAAAACCTTACAAGGAGAACGCAAAGGTGAGAAGTTATAGATCACTTAGAAAGTTATAGGTTCAGGACTGGGCACGGTGGCTCACGCCTGTAATCCTGGCACTCTGGAAGGCTGAGGCGGGCAGATTGCTTGAGGTCAGGAGTTCGAAACCAGCCTGAGCAAGAGCGAGACCCTGTCTCTACTAGGTGGCTCACGCCTGTAATCCTGGCACTCTGGAAGGCCGAGGCGGGCAGATTGCTTGAGGTCAGGAGTTCGAAACCAGCCTGAGCAACAGCGAGACCCTGTCTCTACTATAAATAGAAAGAAGTTAATTGGCCAGCTAATATATATATAGAAAAACTTAGCCGGGCATGGTGGCGCATGCCTGTAGTCCCAGCTACTCGGGAGGCTGAGGCAGGAGGATTGCTTGAGCCCAGGAGTTTGAGGTTGCTGTGAGCTAGGCTGGCGCCACAGCACTCACTCTAGCCTGGGCAACAAAGCGGGACTCTCTCTCTCAAAAAAAAGGAAAGTCATAGGTCCATATCACTAATTGACATCAAGGCAAACAAACAAACCAACAAACAAGCCCAGTCTTAGCACACAGAGCATTCATGTCGTCTCTCTATGAACAGAGAGGGCATGAATTTGTGTGGCCTTCGCCAGAATGACCGTGTCCCTTCTTTCACCGTACTCAATAGCTCAGAGGGGACAGGGTGGACAGATGGGGTTTCCCAGAGTTGAGAATAGTAAACAGAGGATGTTAAGGGACACCAAGGCCATTACAAACATGTCACTGAAATGACCATCCTTAGACTACCGGAGAGGCCAGTGGGGTGGCGGTGGCAGTGGGATTATAAGTCGGTAGGAAATTTGGAGTTATAATCATGGCAGCATTATTTATTATAGGAAAAAATGTTCAACATTTGGGAAAATAGTTAAGCAAATTACGATTGGCTATTACAGAGCTATTAGAAATGAGTGCTTTTTATAGAGGTGCTTCGGGGGAGCTATTTCCATGGGTGTGTTCAGTTTATGAAAACCCATCCGGATGTACCTGAACATGTGTACAAGTTTCTGTATATAGGTTCCATGTCAATAATTTTTTTAAGTGAGTACTTTTAATGATTAGGGAAATGCTTATGATGAAATGTTAAATTTTAAGAAGTTGGTTAATAAAGCCTTTTTTTTTTGAGACAGAGTCTCGCTTTGTTGCCTAGGCTAGAGTGAGTGCCATGGCGTCAGCCTAGCTCAAGCAATCCTGCTGCCTCAGCCTCCCGAGTAGCTGGGACTACAGGCATGTGCCACCATGCCCAGCTAATTTTTTCTATATATATTAGTTGGCCAATTAATTTCTTTCTATTTATAGTAGAGACAGGGTCTCGCTCTTGCTCAGGCTGGTTTCAAACTCCCAACCTCTAGCAATCCGCCCGCCTCGGCCTCCCAGAGTGCTAGGATTACAGGCGTGAGCCACCACGCCCGGCCAATAAAGCCTTTTAAAATGCAATCTGGCCTCTAACTCTGTCTCCCCATTGATGGCCAGGGATAATTTCTACTCCTCTGACTGGTCCAAGCAGGAAGTCTCTTTCCTTCCCTTTCTATTTGCATCCTATAGTGAGGGATTCATTCTGGTGGACAGTATAAACAACAGTGTGACTTGAGGGAATTTATCAAAGAGAAAATGGCAGAGCCAGTGATGTAGGCTGGGAGCCATCTGTCTACACAGAAGATAGCCTGGATCCAAGATGGGTGGGAAATGGAGAGGAGGTCTCCTGTCAGTCCCATTCCTTTTGTTAGGACTTAACTTTTCCCTGCCGTCTGCATTTGGCAAAGTTAGTTTCCGTGCACTTCTGTCACTCCCAAGACCCTGCCCATTGCCTCCCAAATTCCCTTGCCACATGACTGGTAGCACCTGCTTATTAACCTCTCTTGTTAATTTGCTCTGATCTTGCTTGCAGGACTGGATTTGATGTTTTCCTTCTCTTGCTTGACCCAGAAATGGCCCCCAGATTACCCTTGCTTTCTGTCTGGTTCTGGTGCATTTGTTGGCCCAAGCGGAATAGTTATTTCAACAAATCATGCCTATCCCAACAAATGCAAGGAAGAGGCCGGCAGCCTGTCCTGCAGGCAGTAGACCTGCATAAGTGAATTTGATTCTGTGGACCAAGCACTAGAGAGGAGTAACCCTTGGAAATAGTACTCAGTGGGCACACGACTCCTGGCAAGGCCGGTCTCCCACTTTAATCAACCAAATCCCTCTGAAGGGTTTGGCAGCTCTTTCAGACTCCCGGGGGACTTAATCTGTTTGTTTGAAAATATTGTCTGAGAGTCTGGTGACTAAGAAATCCCTGAGAGGGGAGTAAGCTAAGCTGTGAAAACCAACAAGCTCAGAACGTTGGCAAAGTTTAATTAGAAAATGTTGGCTGGGTGTGGTGGCTCACATCTGTAGTCCTAGCACTTTAGGAGGCCAAGGCAGGAGGATCGCTTGAGGCCAGGAGTTTGAGACCACCCTAGGGCAACATAGCAAGACCCCTGTCTCTATGAAAAAAAAAAAGAAAAGAAAAATTAGCTGGGCATGGTGGCACATGCCTGTAGTCCCAGCTACTCAGGAGGCTGAGGCAGGAGCATTGCTTGAGCCCAGGATTTTGAAGCTGCCGTGAGCTATGATTGAGCCACTGCATTTCAGGTTGGGCAACAGAGTGAGACCCTGTCTTTAAAAAATAAAAATTAGAAAAAAAGAAAACAGAAAATGTTTAACAGAAAGCTACATTTGCCTTACTACGAGGAGCAAGGAACTGTAGATATCATGGCATTGCCTAGGAAGTGCATTATGTAAACTTCAGATCATCTATTGGCCTGTTATTTTGGATAAGCTACCCTCATAGCGTAGACCCATCCTTCTGATACCCAGGCAGCTACTCAGCAGTGTTGGCTGAGCTGCCTTCTTAACCTGTTGGCAGCTGCCATGACCAGCAGGCAGCTGGTGGCTCTTATGGGCCTCCCAGGTTTAGCTTCCACTCCAGTTGTTAGGCTTCTCCAAAGGAGCCAATCCAACCTTGGCTTGTTCTACCCACAGGAAGACTTCACTGATACACATTCTGCCTGTGGATTCATCAGTTCCATGGGAATTTGGAAAAGGAGGTTGCTATGGTTTGAGCATGTCCCCCAAAGTTCATGTGTTAGAAACTTAATCCCCAATGCAACAGTGTTGGGGGGTGGGGCCTAACAAGAGGTACAGTCATGTCTCACTTAAAAATAGGGATATATTCTGAGAAATGCATCGTGGGTGGTTTTGTTGCTGGGCAAACATGGTGTGTGTCCCTAGACAGTACAGCCTGCTACACACCTAGGCTATATGGTATAACAGAGCCTATTGCTCCTAGGCTATATGACAACCCAAAATGAGTGATTTGAGGAAAGGATCTCAATCAATTGAGGTTTATTAAGCCAGCTTTAGAGCACATCTGGGGAAAAGACAAGCCACAGATGTGTCTGTTGCTGTTTTTTTCTGAAGAAGTTTTCAGGAGGTTTAGTGTTTATACATTTTCTTAAACGAGAGTTGTGGGGAAGGAATGTAGGAAGAGGGGCAAGTAGACAGTAAGACAAATTATTACATTCTCGTGAGACTTTGGTTAGCGCCCAGAAAATCTACATTTTACATATGACAAGGCGAATGTTTGAAGAGAAAAAGGAAGTAAGGGAGGAATCAATTATGTAGATTTCCCTGGGTGGCTGGAAGAATGATTGATCTTGTCTTGTCTCTGTTCTGCACCTGGGAGGGTAAGCTTGGAATCAATGTTATTAGCGCAGAATTGAAGAGACTTTAGTTTTAGGAGCTAGGCTTAGCCTGCAGATGCAAAGTTATAATATGCATGTCCTTATTTATGCGAGGCCAGCAAAGAATTGCCTTATGAATGATGTCTGGGGCAGTCCTTAGTAGATGCCCAAGGTCCTTTACCTTTCCATAGGGCTCTGGCTAATCCACAATGTTAGGAACAACTATTCATTTGGGAGGGGGTGTTGCATGACTCAGCCTCCCGGCTGGATTTTTCCTTTTGCATAAGGAGTTGGGAGGGTGGGTCTCGAGATTTCATTTTCCTTAACAAAGCCATGATCCACCTCTGCCCAGAAGATGCGACTCAGCCTGTATCATCTCCCTCCTGCAGGCGACGAGCCGTCCCTGTGGTCACCTGAGATGCCCTGGCAGCTAGCCTGCCAAGCCTGGGTGAAAGGGGAAGTGATGAGCAGCATGTTGATGATGAAGCAGTTTCAGCGGGTGTGAAAGAAGCGATTTGACCACTGTGTTCATAGGAACACCGCAAAGCCCAATAGATTATAGGCATTGCATCAGCCAACTGCAATCACTAGTAATTGTCCTGATGAAAATGCCAACGATTAGATAGTACATTCAAATCACTTACAACAGAGGCTTCTTGACAGTTTTATAACATGGTAGATGGTGCGGGAAGCTTAGTTCTCTGCAGTGTCAGAGTTCAGCATTGAGAGGTGAAGGCATAGTGATTACATTTTATGTGAACTTTTTCCCCATATGTCCAACTGCACCTATTTCCAAAGCATTTCAAAAGAAGCAGTAAAATGGCCATTACTACTTTAGCATTTTCTTCCTAATAACTACTGATCCTGATGTTAGCAAAGTCGCTCTGTGGGGGAAGTAGGGAAGTAGGTGGAGGCCCTTTTTGGGAGGCAGGACTGGGTCAGTCCGGGTTGTAGTACCAACCAGCTATGGGGCCCGAGAAATTCCCCTCCGTGTGCCAAAATGGGGGTGGAAAAAATATCCCTTTAGAGTATTTAATTTTAAAACTGAAGGCATTGTGATTGTGTATGCGCTTTATCAAATTTCAACACATTAAGCAGAAAAAGTAAAGCTTCTGTCTCTCAACCTG